TTAAAAAATAAAAAAGTTTTATTAGTAATATATTTTGTAGTTACTATATAAAATTTTTTTGCAACTAATTATATATAGAAATGATCTACATTGTACTCTACCCTTAATAAGAAAACTTTCTGCACCTTACTGTTAAATGATAAACATTGTTATAACTAGAGTAATAATATAAAAAAGAATGATGTTAAATATAAATGATCTTTAATAGAAAACAGTAACAAGATTGATTGACCTTAGAATGAAATAGTTAAAGATATATAAATACTAATTAGGTAAGTCAAAGAGTTTAAATAAGATACTCAAAAATGAAAATTAGATATAGCAAATAGTAAGTAACCTTAAAGTAGAATCTTTAAATAAACAATGATTAAAGTTGTACATATAACTAGCTGTACTCTTATAAACTATATATGTACTTAGGATATCACTAATTAATAAAATTGCCAGTTTGGCTAAGTGATTGATTGCTTATTAACAATAAAAAAAAAAATTTATATACATTTTATTTTTAAAAACAAATAAAAATTTGCTATTTTAAGTTAAAATTTATTTAAATTAAATAAAACTCAAACTAATATTAAATTAAATATTAAAATTCTACCTAGTGTAATTGTAACTTGAATATATATATAGCTAGTACATATTTTATTTAAAATTCAAATTTTAACAACCTAATTAATATAAATCTTTTAATTTAATACCAAATTTTATTTTTTTAAAATTGTTAAAGATAAATAAATTAATGTTATAAATAAAATACAAACAAATTTACTTATATTAAACTAAATTTTAAAAATAATTATACAATTCCTGTAAAAAAATTTTTTCTAAAATATATATATTTATATCAAATAATTTAATTCTCTTTAGCTCTTTTTGAAACAAAATTAGTAACCAATTCTTGATACATTTTATCATGTAACTCTTTTAAATGTTGATAATGACTATGAATTTGAATAAGCTCAGATTGCAATTCCGATATTTGTGTTTGATACATGGTAATTTTATCACCATTCTATATATTAAAATATCAAAAAAATATTAGCCTAATATATTTATATCTATAGATGCTGATAAAATTAAACTATAGTAATAAAATAATTTTGTCACTACTATACAGAAACCTAAATGTCTTAATGCACAATAACTGCATAATAACTATGTAGTAACTATATAGCTACTATACAGCTACTATGCAATTACTGTAAATTAAGAAACCCAAGCTCCTGCAAGGTATTAGTAAAATTGATGAAATTAATTTCACCAGCATCTCTATTTATATCATTTATATAAATATACTTGCTTTGAATTTGCTTTGGGTAGATTTTGCTTTTTGCAAATCACTAAACTCATATGATGAAGTAACTAAAATAATAATAGGAATGTTTATAACATCAAATAAATGGCATGAACGTAAATGAACTGAAACACTATTACCTTGATCAGTGCAATTGTAATTATATAAATCGATTTCCTACAAGACAAATAAAAATCTTAAAAGATTGTTAATGATTTAAATTAGAACAAGTTCTGAAATGCACGTACCTTTTTATTATCATTTAAAACCATTATTACAGATTCCTCAATTTCAGAATCTTCTTTGAGCGATATTCCTTGCGTTCTCTTAAAAGGTTGTATTGGTTGTATCATAATTTTAGACGGTGAAAACCCAAAATTGAAAAGATCCGGTGGCTTTATAAAAGTTTGTATGTTTGCGATTGGACCTTCATTAAATAATTTATTAAAGTCACAATTAAACTGAACAACGAGAACCACTTGTAGACTTATACCTTTGAGATGTGTAAAATTTTTAATCATTTGTCCACTGGCAATATCCCATACTTTTATTGTTTCATCTTGGGAACCTGATAGGAGAAGAGTAGAATCATACGAAAGTGAAAGGGTAGTAATTGACATGCTGACGTAAAGAAAATTATAAATTATAATGAATTACACAAAGCATTCATGGAAAAATATCATACAAAGACTTACCTATGTCCCCTAAATATTAGATTTCTTTTATCATCATGTTCAGATACAACATCTTCGACAACACCAGCACCTCCTACTGCTGCTATCTCAAATCCAGGCTGTCCACTTGCATTATAAGTCCTATTCTCAAGTTTTTTGTACAGATTTACCTGATAAATAAGATTATCCCTACCACCAGCAAAAAACGTTCTTTCAGCAGGATCAAGCGCAATAGCAGTTATAGCGGTGGGAAATAAGAAGGTTGTTAAAAGATGTCCGGATGACAGGTCCCATAGCTAATCATGAAGAACTTAAAATAATAAATAATTTATAAACAATTAAACAGGTTTATTTACTGAGTAAAACACACTTTACAGGTATGGTCCAACGATGAAGTCAATACTCTCGCTGTACGAAAGCTACCAATCCCACATATTATATCAGTGATTGGTAATGAATGTTCTGGCCATGAATAAAATGGAGATGGTGATTCATCTGTTAAATCATTTAAAATACTGTTGTAAAATTGTTATAATAAGTAACGAACGTGTTTTTTTTTCATGAATTAGTATATTAGTATATTATAATAATTATAACCTGCATATCAACCAGACATTTACACCCGCATCTTCACTTCCCGATATCAATGCAGTATCATCATTTGTAAATTTGAGGACACTAATCTTTTTATAATGAGCATCGTATACACGACATAAAGTTCCAGTTGAAAGCTTCAAATTAATATAAAATTTAAGTATTAAAATAAGGTTATTAAATGATCGAATATCATAATCTTTTCATCACTTTAGCTACCTCCCAAATATAAATTTTTCCATTATCGGTACCACAAGCACAATATGCGCCTTGATTTGAAATAGCCACCGAAGTTAATTTCTCAGGACATATAATTTTGAGATAAGGCTGATCCTATAAACGAACATATGATAAATAATTTTGTCGGTTTGATTTATTGTTATTATTTGGTTAATTTTACTCAACCTTTTGCCACGAATATACATGTAGTAAAGCTTTATCAATTTGAGCGGCTATAATTAAACCAACTCTATTGAGCTGTCCTGGAAATGGAATTAAAGCCAAGCCATGTTGATAACATTTATTTTGTTTGAAAGAAGTTAACAAAGTTCCGGTTCTAAAATCCCAAACTTGTATGTTTGAATCTGAAAGCGAAGTTGCAAGCGCAAGTTCTGTCAACATTGCTAAAAAATCTTATCAGTAAAATTTTTGAATGCATCTATTTTATTGGCCAATGCATAGATGTTGTACTACGCACTTTCTCGAATAAAAAAATTTCAAGATCAGAAACTTTTAATTCCTCCTCTTCTAATCATTTCAAAAATTACGGTTAGTAAGGTTATACATCCATCCAAGATTCTTTTATAAAATTTACTAATCAAATTGATATTATAGAAATGGCTAATAAAAAAAAAAAAACCGCCCCACGTAGCGCGATCTCTGATGTCGTGACGAGAGATTATACCATTCATTTGCACAAAGCCGTCCACGGCAGGTAACATTAACACAATTTTTATTAACAAATTAAAGTTTTGGATAATTTTCATGATGAGTTTACGATAATAATAAATGTTAAAATTTAAATTTATAAATAGGAGTTTCAAGAAACGTGCACCTCAAGCTGTAAAAGCTATTAAAACTTTTGCCTTCAAACACATGGGCACTAAAGATGTTCGCCTCGATCCTCTATTGAATAAAGAGATTTGGAAACAAGGCATTAAGAGTGTTCCTCATCGTATGCGTCTTCGCCTTTCACGTCGTCGTAATGACGAAGAAGATGCTAAGGAAAAATTATATACTCATGTTACTTATGTACCTACAGTATCATTTAAAGGTAATAATTATGATTTATATAAATTTATTCATAAATTTTATGAAATCATTTATTAATGTAAATATTTTATCACCAGGCCTCGAAACTAAAGAAGTGGATCAATGATCATTCTTATGATTATTAATTAATAAATGCGATGCTTTTTTCTAACATGAATAGGAAAAAAGTATATAACAGCCTAGGTGGTTTTTTTGTTATAATTAATGTAACCAACACCAACACTTGTCAATAGTAATGTATTTGATTCTGGGTCCTGCTTTATTTTGAATGTAACGTCAAAGAAATCTCGAATATCTCGAAGATATTGTATACTTTTGGTTACGAGTAAAATAAAAAAATCAAAAAAAAATAATAATTCAATAAATTGCTTTTAACGCGACATTTTTATCTGGTAAGATCAACTTACGTGAAAGCTGTCAACTGTCCTAATCTGATTTTTGATACATCTTCTGGACTCAGGACCATCAATAAAAGCATCAACCATTGATTTGATGAACCAATGCAACCACCTTTTCGTATTTCAGAAAGTAAAAGTTTTGCTGTTCGTTTGCCAAGATCTTCTGGTGTTTCGCCTGGGTTTGCAGCTTGTTCAGCAGTTATGAGAGCACTTGTTGTTGATTCAGCAACCAAAGAAAGCGCAAATCCTGGAGATCTGTTACAAATATGATTTGACTTATTATTAATTCAAAAATTCATATGGCCGATTTGTGGAATTTTAATTAGGTTTATTTTTTTAAAATTTATAAATGAATCTAAAAATAATTTTGTATTCTCTTTAATTATGATTCTGACAAGTACAAATCGAATCACAGGATTATGAGATATAGTACCGTCAAATAATGACACACCTTCCATGTGGGACTCATGGGTTTGACAATATCAAACCCACGAGTCCCACATGTAAGGTGTGTCATTATTTGACGGTAATATATCTCATAATCCTGTGGTTCAATTTAGATAATTTTGTACTTGTCAGAACCATATTAAAGGGAATACAAAATTATTTTAAATAAGTTAGATTAGTTTATAAAAATTATTTAATTTTAAATTTTTTAAAAATAAATCCTAACCAAAAATTCCGCAAATCGGTATATATGCTCATTTTATATATATCAAACATTCATTAATTACTTACTTTCCGGACTCCTCACCCTTATATACATCTGTATATATGTATATATCAGGAATGTATCTGTTCAATACTGATCTTGCAGCATCTATCATCCTGTTAGCATTTTGAGGAGATACACGCGTGCAGCATCTAAAATTGAGCGACAAATCAGTTTTTGCATTAAAAAAAGACAAACAAAAATATTGGAAAAATACACTACGCGATACCACGGATACGTTTTATCCGACCTTCATCAGTGAACTGCATTGGTTTAAGAGATTTCACGACTGGACATTTAAAATTGACTTCACCGCCGCCGAGAGGTGGAGAACCGCGTTTAGAAATCTACTTGGAAATTGAATAATAAATTGCGATAATGAATTATTTATAAATGCGATAAAGATTAAAAATGATTTATAAAAAAAAAGATCAACCTTTAATTCCAAGCCTTCTTCTATACCAAATCTCTTAAGCTGTAACATAACAGCAGTTCGAATAATATCTACCTATAACCACAAATTAAAAATGACAAAATGGGCGTAAAATTAGTAATTTTAATGAGTATAAGAATTGTAAAATTTCGAACAAATGACAAACCGACGTGTCCACATTGTCATTTGTTATTCCAAAGAATATAAGATTAAATGGATCCTTTGAAAAAGGTGCTAATGCAATCATCGGTTCCAAAAAATATCCAATTGCGCGAGCTGTACCACAATCATGACTTATTGTTCCACCTGTAATTACACCAGGTTTAAATAATACGCTTGTACCTGAATTAACAGAAATTTAAAATTTTAAATCGTCTTTAAACAATAGCTTCTTCAAATAATGTCTTTAAATAAGTAATTCAAAAAAAAAAAAAGACTCTCTATATGATCAAACCTGAATAATTAATCTCTATTATTGATCCATTTGTAACTTTATCCAATAATCTTAAAAAACTTGCTTCAAAATCTGGATTCCCAATTGTATAAAGCTCGTTAATCGAATGTCTCGTTATATATATTTATATTTATATGTATTTATTTATTGATTGATTTATTGATTTAAAAGAATTCACCCTTTAATCCAGGATCACTATCGTTCGAACGAACTTTATCAATTTTAACAGGTTTCCCACTTAAAATAGCGAGAATCAATCTTTGTCTAAAGTAATTATGACCGGAAAATTTCAAAATTTTCGAGGCCATTTGTAAAGTATGATCTAATCTATTGACTATTGATTATCGATCGTTATACAGTACTAAATTTTATTCTGATTGGCGACTGGCGACGATCCTTAATAACAATATTATGTTTTTTTAAAAAAAACTTTGAACGAAGATAACTAGATAATTACCTATTCAAAATCGATGAAATTTTTTTTTATTTTAATTATATGAATCTTTATAATTAAAATAAAAAAAATTTCATCGATTTTGAATGAGCAGTTATCAAGATATTATCTCTCAAAGTTTGAAAGAACTTAATTGCAGTTTTTCATTTTTAATTGAAAAAAAAAAAAATTTGAATGAGAATATCTCGACAAAATACCTACTTAAAATCGATGACATCTTTCATCGATTTAAATAGGTATTTATAGAGATATCATTGCTCAAAGTTTGAAAGAACTTAACCGCAGTCAATTACTTTGAACGAGGATATCTCGATAATCACCTATCTAAAATCGATGAAAAATTTTTTGATTTTATTTCTATAAATCCATTATCGAAAAAAATATATATCGATATAATATTGTATGAGATTTACCTGCAACCAATAGAAAAGGTGGGTGAAAATTAGTAAATGTGACAGATTAAAATCAGATTAAAAATGAAATAAAGGATAGTGTGACGGTAAAATAGACAAGACACCGAACAATAATACAAATTTTGGGGTTTTTGAAGGGTCAAATAAAAACTCTTTATTTTCATATTTCAGTCTGAATTCATTTTAATCCAGTTTATTAATCAAAATTAGCAATCATTTACGTGACATTATCCATTGTTTAAAGTATCCTTCTTGATGCACCGATTAATATTTAATCGTCTCAACAATTGATAAGAAGAATGATACTTATTGGATGGCCAGCATATAATGTACCTCTTTTTAGCTCTTATTAGAATCCGGACAATATATCTATTACGAATAGTTGGACACTCTACCGATATCTGAGCATACAAAACGTATGAACAGGAACATGATTTGCAGTGTAACTTTGAATTTAAAGTAATTTCTAAAACTTTTTAACTTTCTTATAAAATGCAGGTAATTTTTGTTCTTAATTATAAGTAATATCTTTCATTTTGTCCATTAAAATCTTTCACTTTTTTGGTTGTTTAAATTCGATATCAAATATGTAAAGGATATCGAACGTACGTAATAAGTACTTCAACGTGGGAACTACTGAGGGTCCAAGCGATCTTCGTGGGAATATTGAAATTCAGATGTTAACCTGAGGGTGTACGACAATATTTGCATAAATTGTTATAGAAACACCACGGAAAATACGCCTTCAGATTAAAGTTTGAATTCATGTACGTATACTGATGTATACGTACTGTATACCTGAAGATATATTAATAGCCTATAAATGGTATTAAAATAGGTATGCGCGAATAACGCCGAGACTAGGTTATCGAATGACTTTTTTTTTGTTCAATAGAAATCAAACAAATCATACGATTTGTGCCTTTTAAAAATGAAACAAAGACGGTAGGTACCTTTGATGTAATATTATTATTGACAAGTCCAAGTAGTGATGGGACTAACCGGGGTTAAAAAAGGAGGTTGTTTTAATTAACACGCACTATGACCATTTAAAAAATTAATTTTATATGTTTTTTATATGCTATGGTACGTGACAATTAAACTACCTCCTTTTCTAACCCGGTTAGTCCCATCATTAAGTCCAAGTGAAATAAATAAAAAAATAGAATCATATTACGGATTAAAAATTATCCATTGTATTATTAGCAAATGAATTTGAATCAGCAAGCTTTTCCATGACAAAAAAGGTAATAAGATTATATTTAAAATGAGGTTATAGATGTTTCTTTGCTTTTAGAAGAATCAATGTTTTCACAAGTTTGTTATGAAACACTATGAAACATATAATGACGATCTTAACTATTTTCTAAAAAAATCGGTGAATTATCTGTCAAATATTGCTCCGATTAACGTGGATCAAAAGTGTATTATGAAGGAAGGAATAATTGTCGATCATGGTATTAATGTTGCCAAATCGCGTAAATAAACTTTGACATTGTTTTCATGTGTATGCCAAGCATTCGTTTACATTAATAAATCCATGGAATATCAGTAAATCCTTGATATCTTAGGATAGGTTAGAGCAAATGTCATATAATCTTCAATCTCGTGATATCGGAGCCGATGAAAAAGTTTATTGATTGTGATTTTGATTCTTAGCTAATCATTCTGATATCACACGAGCGAAAATATTTATCTGATATTAAGACAATTTCTTAACAAATCATTTTCCTAGTGACATTCTGTTTCATATTATATTTTACTGTATACAAAATACAGTATATAAAATCATATGTATAAAATCATATTACATTTTTATTGATATACACAATAGTTCTTACATGTCGTTCGAAGACCAGCTATTATAAACGATAATGAATTAATGATCTACCTTTTTTCTCACAATTCTTACTTTTTTTTTGAAAGTTTCTTAATGAAAAAAAAATGAAATGATCTTCAACTTAAATATAAATAAATAAAGTATGATACATAAATAATATACAAAATCATATATAAAAAAAAATTTGGTAAAAGAATTACCAACATTCTATAAATATGGATCTTAGAAATGAAATAACCTTATGCTAGAATTATCGATGAAAGAGAGTGTAAATACTCTATTTCTTATTATCGTCTTTCATATATATTTTTTACCTTCACGTTCTTTTTTCGTCGTTCACCATATATGACCCAAATATGATCCATACTCTCGTTATATAAATCTTACTTCCGGTATTATTTTCGTTTCCAAATTGTTTTCTTGTTTAAAATTCACTTTCGGTACTAATATTTTTGTAATGTTATAAAGGGTTGGGATTGAAGAAAAAACGAAAGTTTTTTTTTGTTCGAAAATCGTTCGCCGTCGATCTCAATCATCCAACCAAAAATTCCATCCCTCCGCATTATGTATAAGAAAAAAATAAGTTAAAGAAAAAAAAAAGAAAAGAAAAGAGAGAGAACACATAATATAAGCGAAAAATTCTTTTTACACACGAAAATAAACACAAGGAAATCAAAAAAAAAAGGTTCAATTTATATAACAACGAACTCGGTATAAGAATAAAAAAAATTTTTGGTTTAAGGTGTGAAAATTACTGTAAGTACCACGATATTTTTTTTTTCAACACGTTTTTTAGTTTGTTGAATTAGGGTTGAACGATTATTTCGCCCGCATAACTCGTGCCACTATAAAAACGTGCATTATTATTCCCCATATAATTTACGGTTGTTGGAAATTCATCCAACATAAAAAATATTTGGCCATCAGCTGAAGAAGCAGTTCGTTTAATTGTTGTAGTATCAGTCAATTGATGATTAAGTGAAATTCTGTTTGGAGCAAGAGTACCATTTCGATCTTCAGACTTCATTGTCACGTGCTCGACGGATACCAGTACTCGACACGTGTTGTGACGTGATGCGGCTGATTGTACCTGAGCTTTGATTGAGACATTTATGAACAAGGGAAACTTTAAATACATAAAGTGGAATTGAATTAGTTTAGTGAATAATCGAACCCATTGAACCAAAATCAATACTAAATCAATACTAAAACTAAAACTTTTTTTTTTTTTTTCTTATTAACAAAAACTATGCAGAAACAAATAAGCGAATTCCCATATGTAGAGTTTTTTTTTTATGCGTACGTAATTATAAATCTTTTTAAGTTATAAAAATATGATATGTAATAAAATGAATCTTACCTCTTGAATGAATTGTTTATGATTTGGGGATATTATAATCTCACCGTCTGTCATATAAAGAAAATAAACATGACCAGCTCGAATGTTTATATGTACTTTTGATAGACCATTGAATGCTTCTAAAACTATTTGTTTTAAAGCAATTATATAGATAAATAAATTATTGGAAGTAAAAAATTCAATTTCCATCAATGATTAAAGAAAGATAACGTACACATTTTTAATTTTGTCATTACACTTTCAGCTGAAATTTGAGGAGATTCCTCCAAAATAGGAATAGGAGAAATTTGAGGGGAATCATCCAAAGTGGGAATAGTTTCGGCAGCATATGATAATTTTTCAGTGAGCCAGGATTCAACGATAAGAGCGATATTTTGTAAAGCTGGTTGTATATGACTGCCATGATGTAGTACCTATTAATTTAAAAAAATTAAAATTAAAATACAAATTAGAAATTAAAATTAGGAATAAGAAATAAAACTAATGAAATCAAAAGAAGCAAATAAAGTAAAATAAAGCAAATAAAGAAAGTCAATAAAATCACCTCATAGTAACAAGGATTAAAATGATAAAATTTTTGACAACTGATAATATTATCAGAATGATCAGAAGAATCTTGGAAAAGTTCATTTATGAAACTCGCCAAAACAGGATCATTTACAGTGGTATCGGAATTGAGTGATGAAATGTAGGACTCGTCAGTTTCTTCATAATCATCCTCCCCTTCAGTTGAGTTGTAAAAGAAAGCTTCACGAGAAGAATCACCATCAATCATAAAATCTTGATCTTCATGAACTAAATCCATTGTATATTCGGATTGTGGAGTTGGTATTGACGGAAAGAAAGTATGTCGCGATTGTATAGATTTATCTACAATAAAAAAAATATATAGATCTAATTAGTTTAAATATTGACAGGATTGACATTTGGTGTTGCCAAGTTTTTCCCAAATAAAGAAAATGAAATTGCGGACTGAGTATTTATAAACAAACAAAGTCAAATCAAGCATATGGCGTAACTAAAAAAAAAAGATAAGATAGAAAGGTAACATGTGTACAACAATGTTGTAACTTTGCACTAACGACTAATGGGAGAATAATTTACGTAATGGTAACAAAAAATGATAAACGAACATATTGAATATATTCAGTTTTCCCAATGATCTACAATTAACTTTTAATCTAAACCGAAATCGTAAAACTGATCTTATGAAACCAATTCTTAAAAGATAAGAAAAAAAAAAGAAAAACCGAGGAATAAAAATGAATAAAAAAAAAAATAGAAAAGTAAAGAGAATAAAGATATTTACCGGAAGTGTTCAAAAAGGTATATGTTGTTGGATTTACGGATAGCTTTCTGAATTCGGATAACAGGATTGAGTCCATATTTATAAAAATAGAGACCAAATAATAATATTATTAAATAGTATTATAGTGCGTATTATAGTATTATAGAGTACGTTATGTTTGATCACAAAAAAAGTCTCAAGGTCAGAACGAGATATATTGAATATATTGAATATATTGATAGAAATAAATACGAATTCGTTCAAAATAGAAGTTTGGAGATAAATTTCTAATGTAAAGACAGTTTTTTTTGCGAAAAACTTTAAATTGAGATTTTCTTTTATTTTTGTGTCTTTAATTTGTTTAATTAGGAATGTGATAAATTGATATGAGTTAATTAAAAGATGTATAAGTGAAAAAAACTAATGTCAAAGATGAGAGAAGGGGAGGCCGCAGAAAGGAAGAAGAAAGAAGAAAAGCAGGAGGTGAAGCGAGGGATCATATAGGAATCAAAAAAAAAAAATTTTAATCTGGTGCTACGCCGAAAAAAGATGTATAAGCATCATTTGGAAGGAAAAGGGAGCAATGTGCATGTTGTAAATAAGGTAATATTCTAAAACACATAAATAATTATCAGATCTATTTATTATTGACTCGGTTATCAGTTATTAAATGTATACCTTTGCGTCAATGTAATTGTATTGGTATTGGGTAAAAAAAAAAAAAAAAAAAAAAAAAAAATGCTGGAACAGGTGTTGTGGGGAATGCTGTTAGTTCTCACGTATCCTATTGGCTAGATAGATCAAACACTATGTTTCTAATACAGTATACATTGTAATATATAATAATTTATATATGTTTTAAATATACATTTTACAGTAATATACATATATTTTATATATTTTAATATTAATATACATCTTTTAAATAAATATATATTTTTTAAAAATACATTTTGATATTACATTTTTAACATAATTATTTTAACTATCATACATACCTATATATACATTCGGACCGAACGCCCAGAAGCTAAGTAAATATCTTACATGCAATTAATCGTGTTTTTTTTCGCTTCTAAGATTGCCCAATGCGCATATAATAACACCCGGATAATTTTAATTGAATACTGCGTAATTCCCCCTGAAAAAGGTGGTACCACGTAAGTTAGGAAAAAAGAAAAAATAACAATGAATAATATAATAATAAAGTGAATATAAAATGAATAAAATGACAGCATATATGCTAAATATTTTTTTGACTTCACGACCTTGCAGATATTATGTCATATACCGTATACCACTCAAATATATTAAATTTATTTGGTAGATCCTTTACAACATCCAAAAAGATCGGTAAAGTCAAAGAAAGGAAAATATTTTGCGGGGAATTGGGCGTTTTTTTTTTTTTTTTGAACAACAATATCATCAACAATCTCATTTTTAATCTTATTATAAAAATATTTTGTTTCGGACTTCACCTTAGACCCTCAAGTGTTTTTTTGCCAATCGTACAATATTTACTATATTTACAATAGTCACAATAGTTACAATAATGTGTTTAGCAATAAAAAAAGAAAAAACTTTGACGTCTGTCTTTTCTCTAATTTGTTTATTCATAATCTCTCGGCTGCGTGTGCTGTATTTGTATGCGAATTTATGACGTGAATGTTACGCGACGGTCTTTAATTACAAATAGAATAATAATAATAAAAAAAAACGTGTTATCAACTTGTAAGATAAGATTAGATGATTTTGATATGCTGTATAAAATTATTCTGTTACGTCACTTACTTAAAAAGGTAAATAGGACGTATGTGTAATAATGCAACTTTTTGAGCAAATTAACGTTAATGGTAGGTAACCAATTAATTAATAATGGAGAAGTACTTTGTTATTTAGTGGCGTAAATAAAATGAGTCAGCCTGCAATTCAAACTCTGATGTTTTTGATAAGATTAGATCTTTTCACTCAATGAAAGATTTGTAATTATTGCTGTCGAAAATGGTTGTATGACAAATTGAAATTCTGAATTCCGGATAAAATGGTTGATTTAAATGGACTATTTAAATGTATAATATTTTGTTAATCATTATTGTGTTAATAATTCCCAATTCACGTTAAAGTCCTATTTTTTACTTTTGTCGATCTATTTCCTATAAAATTGCGTTAAAAACCTTCTCTCACATATGATGATCATTAGAATTTCCTTCTACCTGAAAAACACAAGCCTTGATGCAATCCACGTATGATATTCACCTGAAAATATTATAAAATGAAATTATTAAACGGAAATTATTTATCTAATTATATTTATCTGATTATATTTAATTGAATACTTTAAAATGAAATTATTACCCGAAATTTGTCCCTCGTCCTTCTACAAGTGATGTTCTCGGTTTCATTGTAATTCCTTTAATTATTGTTGGATTATGAATCATATGATTAATTGCCAATAATCAAACTCCATTGTTTATTTTATCCTTGGATACTTACGTCGTCTGTTGTGAATGGGAAGAGTCTAACACATTTGGTAACTGTTTAAGGCCATTATAAAGACCGTCGAGTTCGGTTATCTCTTTTCATGTCATGTGCGGCAACGTTAATAATAGATGCAGTAAACATTTTTAGACGCGTTTTATTAACGCCCAAGTAGTTTCTCTTCTATACATGGCATTGAGCTCTCAGCCAAAAAATTTATTTTTACCCACCCCCAAGAGTGGGGCATTCCTAATTGAGATTAGTGCCACCAGTTTCTATTAATTGTCTTAGACCAAAATCTGATTGGTTACTGAAGTTTCTAATTGGTACAGTACCGGACAGTACGTAAAACACTTCCAATGTTTATTAATAAAAACTTTAAAGTGTTATAACTTTTTTAAAACAAAAAACTCTGACAAATTGATAGATTTTTAGATAAACTACATTTCTGTAAGAGGTTTTTTTTTTATTTTTTAAAAAAGTTATAAAGGATTAAAGTTTATATGAGTTCAAAAAATTGGCGTTTAATATAAAAAAAAAGAAAACATATATATTTTTTTAACCAATCAAAATCAATTACACAAAAATTAGCCAATCAGAATTGGTTATATATGCATCAAAAATTGGCGCCTATATGTATAGATTGGATGTCTTTTACTGTCCCGTACTATACAAAATATCGCGCAATAAATATAAATGATATATATAACAACTAAATATAGTCTAATCCGACCTCTATCTAAACTGAACGTTAGATTCTATTATAAATTTCGGTTTCCACTTTTTAAACTGATAAGCCCTAAGGGTTTGTTTATAATAAGTTCTATGTTTAATGTGTTAAAGTGGGAACGTGAAGACGCGTTATCAATATAAATTAGAAGTCAATATGTAATTTGGTAATAAAATTTAAATTTGATGATAAAATACTTGGATTTGGTGACAAATTCATCATGATAATTTTATACTACTTAGTTACAGTATATCAGATATCGTCAGCGCATTGCCACCCCGTAAAAACTTTTAAAAATATGTGCTGCCAGATTAAGTTCAGGTTAGGTTCGAATAAGATGGTCAACATTCCTTACGAAAATTTAACAATAAGGAATATTCTTCACGTTACACCCGATCCTGCATCATAATTGGTTGCTGATTCTAGAGTTGTTCCACCTGTTGCATCTTTTAAATCTGATTGGTCGTGATTGGTTTCAACAATTTATTGTTTTATGCTATCCCAGTAGGGACTAATCCTAACCATAACATAAGGTTTAAGACTTTGGTTTGATAATGATAAAGGAGGGCGTGTCTTATACCAAAATCCTGCAAGTAAATTTTTTTATTAGTGCGCAGAAGGTAGTTTCATAGACTAAATTTTTGAGTTATCGAAACCTGTTATATCAACAATGACCGGCATTACTAAATACACTTATCCTAACTCAGGCCGATGTTGTGCCCATAATCACGTGAAATGTTGTACCCGTAGCAGTAGGGTGGCGCCTCAACTAATTAAATCAACCATTAGTTAGGGTAATATATGATGATCATTAATTTCGGATTTTTTATAGGCCGTATAATTTAATATTAAATTAAATTTACATTTTTTGGCATTAGTATCTAACAAAAGTGCATATGATTTTTTTTTTTAACTTGAAGCTCTCGGCTAGCTCTACATGGTAATAGAGCTATTTTTTAAATAATTTTTTTTAAAAAATTTCATAAAAATTAATTAATTAATTAATTTTTAATAGTTATACAATAATTAATAAGTTTTTAATTATTTTAATAAACTATCGAAAAAAAATAGCTCTATTACAGTTAAAGGCATGGCCTTACCATTAATATTTAAAAAAAAAAATAGCTCTATTATCATGTAGAGCTAGTTGAGAGCTTCAAAATTAAAAAAAATAGTATATATTTTTGTTAAATATTTGTGCCAATAAATGTAAATTTTAGTTTAATAATTATTTTTTAGAATTTTAATTAATATTATTATATTAATTGGCTCTGTGCAAATAAATATAATTAGTAATTAAGTTAATGATTAATGATATATATATAATGTATATTTAAATCTTTGTTTATCACAAATTAATATTAAAATGACCAAAACTAAGCAGTATAATCAGTGACGACATTTAAAAAGAGCATGCAAAGCAATAAAAAAACCTTTACAAGAATGTAGTAATAGTAATTTAATTGAAAATTTGAATTTAATGCAAAATATAACATTTAGTAATAATAATTTATCATATGAAGAATTGGAAATTAGTAACTATTTAAATTCAAATTATATTTATAAAATTTTAATTAAAATATTAAATTCGAATATTTAATATAGATCAAATTAATTAAGATATTAATATTAATTTTACACTTAAAAAAATGTATCAACAAATAATTCAGATTATTACTAATAATATAATAAATTTTACAGAACAATTATTAACTTTATTTGTTAAGATTGTTCAACAATTTATACAAGATTTTCAAAGTAATTCTAAACAATTACAAGATTGACTATTATTTTTTGAAACTATTATTCAAATAAATTATAGTAAATTATCATTGGCATTTTCATTAATAGAAACTATAAGATACAAAAAAGGTCTAAATAAAGGTAAATTTCTTTCAAAATACTTACAACACAAAGCAATAAATTATATAAAAAATTCATTTTGCCAAGCAAGTTATAATATTAAAAAGTGTATAGCTGCAACTAAAAAATATAATAAAACTATAAAATTGTTAAGAAATAAATTAAGTATAATTAAATTAGAAAATAAATCATTGCATAGATGTATTGGAAAATTCTTACAAATTCACAAGCAATATATATCAAATATGTAATCTAATGCTTATAAATATTCTACAATAAAGAGGTATGACGACCTAGTGAAGTGAATAGGTTGTCAACCTTCAAGTGGCAGGTCTAGAGTTCAAATCCTAGTAATGGTGAAAATTTGCAATTCTTTTTGTGTTAAGTTAACTGTCTTTTGCGATTAGTTAAGATAAGATATCTGTAACTCATGCTATACTAGCATGACTAAAAGGTCTAGACACTTGTACAACATTGTACAAGAAAACACAAATCAGTATCAGGTGGTATAAACTCAAGATAAGTCCTTAGGCCATGTAATTATAGAAACCAGGTAGAAAGATAGAAGCCTACTTGGAAGACCCGAATAAAGAGGTAACCCAAACCTTTAACAATGCTACTATAAAGACTAGACTTATGAAATAGAGTTAGAACTTATGAAACTGAGTAAATATGCCTGTCTTTGAGAAGGAACCAGATGAATCAACCAGGCTATTAGAATTTTCAGATTTTAGAGAAAAAGTGTACATATCAGCAAACATGTATACCAGAAGTACAGTTTTGCCTTACCTTTCTGGGTTATCTAGAATGGCAGCTTGGTGAAACTTGAATTGAATACCAAAGTAATAAGGATATATTGTAAAGTCAGTACCAGGATTGAAGTGAACTTTACAAGGGCATAGTGGTTTAATAGTACACTCTGACCACTAGTGTTGATCTCAGCTATAGTGATACTAGATTAGCTGTAAGAATAGGATACAGAAGATTCTAGAAGGTTTAGTACAAGGTCAAAGGTTTCTTATATAAGTGAACTGCTTTAAAGACTTAGTGACCATGGCATATTTTTACTAGTATCGGCCAGGGTCATTGATAGACAGAAATAGGTAGATGGATATAGAAACAGAGTGGTTAAATAGAGAACCTACAAGTGGGTTTCAGGTATGGCAGCTAGTGTAGAACCTTCGAGCAAACTATTTAAATTAGACAATAACTAAAGTTGTATGAGTAATTAGTTGTATACTCTCTTCATGGTTGCCTTCTGTAGTTGTAATGCAACCATTAGCCAAATATACTATTAATAAAATCCTGGATCACAAGTACTCACCTTAATATTTAAAAAAAAAAAAAATCTTCTATAATAAATAAAAAAGAATTAAAAAACTTTTATTCAATAACAACTAATGAGAACAAAAAGACATTATACAACCAAAACTATTAAAATGATAACAAAAGTTAGTCAAATTGGATCAATGTCTTTTCGATCTGCTATTGAATGCACTAAAGCTGTTATTAAGTAACTAACTAATAAAGAACCTGATCAGTGGTTTTTAAGAAAAACTCTTGATAGATAGTACAAAAATGTTGCAACTATACATACTTTTAATATATATAATATAATTAAAAAAAGTCAATTCTTCAGTTATAAAATAATAATAGATAAATCTAAACAAGACAATAGCAAAATATTTATAATATGTTTTAACTATTAGAATTTAAATACAAATCAACTATATATAACTATGTTAGAAATAAAAGATCTTTTACATTATAATAGATTAACAATTGCTAGTACAGTTATTGAAACTTATATAAATTGTAAATTAGATCCAAAAAAATACATTATTTAAACAATTAATAATACAGTCTATATGTCTGAATATAAAGATAATGCAATTACATTATTCAATAATAAAACTCAATCAGACTTATTTCAAATCTTATATAGTATGTATTCAGCACATATTATGATGACCTATTTTGAAAATACTACTTTTGGTAAATTAAATATTGATAGTAGATTTTTAACACAAAAATATCTATTTAATTTACTTTATTTAATTTGGTATCTTCATAATAGATATGATAAAAGTAAAAAAGAAAACTCAATGAATATAAAAGCTTCTTACATATCAGATATATATAAAAAGCTTACTAAATTACAATATACAAAGTTTCAAAACCCATTTTACCAATATTGGTTATATAAGTTACATATAACAAGACAATTAATTTATAGAAAAGAATTAATAAATATATTTGTAGAATGGTTTATAACAAAACTTAATTATAAAAATGCATTCAAAAATATGCTTCATAGTAAAAATTATTATATAAATAGCTTAAGGACCTCTTATTTAAAATTCAGATTGAATGTTTAATAAAATTTGAAGAAGAAATATATGAACTTATAATGAATTTTTTAGCAGGATTTGACTCTACTTCTAGAATATTAGAAAATAATAAAGAACTTACTATACATTTTTCAAGACATAGAGCACATAAAATATCTGATGCAGTTTCACAATAGATTAAGAATCTTGTAAACATTACAAATAATATTTATTCTTTTTTTAGTGATAAACTTTTAAATGCTATTAATAGTTTAAATGATAATAAATTTCAAATATTAGTTGATGAATTAATTGCAGATATAGATGCAGCACTTGATTTACTAAAAACATAGTTGAAAATATGAATACATTTATCTTTAAGCATATGTTATCTAGGAGGTAACAATGAACATAAATTTGCTTTCACATATGCCAAAGTTATTTTAAAAATGTCATAGAATTATAATGCAACCAAAATATAATATTATATTCAAAAACTTGAATATGATATTGATTCAAGTACAGAGTTTCAAGACTTTGGCTTATGTGAAGTACTAAAAGATCCAGCATTTTTTGAAGAATTTGTAAATTTTGCAAATTTTTCAGAACCAATTCACAACTACTCACTATTATATGAGTTTGTCAAATTTCATATATATTATATAGTAATTCATCAGCAACAAATTGAAGAGCTTTTCAACAAATTTGATTTAAAAAGCTATTCAAATATGTCTAATAAAACAAAAAAGGCAAAACTTACATTGTTAATAGTAAATATCGAAAATTCTTCTATTTTTTTTTTTTTTTTTTTTTTTGCTAAGGCTATACTTGTGGTGATACTTTATTGACTTTATATTGGGTTAGCTATTATAACTATTTTTACAGAGATGAAAGTACAGCTAGTTACATGTGCAACTTTTGGTTGCCTATTTAAGTAGTCTGACCTAAGGTTCTACACTAGATGCTATACCTATAACCTACTAGGAGATTATTCATTTAAACCTTCTGATCATCTGCCCTGTCATATTGGAATCCCCAAACTAATCTCCCATATATATCTATCTGGTATACCATCTGAGCAGTATAGTACCTACTTTTTTTGTACTGGTTCCTAGGCCATTATACATTTCAGAGTACGTCACCTGCCAGTAAGGCGCAGGGGGCCCCCTATTGTTAGCTATCTATCCACTTTTAGAACACTAATACAGGCTACCCTTACAGAGTTCACCCAGACCCTAGTACTGACTTCACAGCATATCTCTAGTACTTTTAGTATACCTCTGCTTTGAACTCAGACTCCCAATCCAGATAGCCCAGAAGGACTATGACCTGTCTTTGGTATATTGAGGCTGACCTAATATCCTTTTTCTCTGGTCTGAAATCTGACAACCTGGTTGGTAGTACCTCTCACCTGAGGATCTTGCCCACTCGAATCCTTCACATTGGTATCTATTTCCTAGGTCTAGCCTTTACAGTAGTATTGTCAAAGATCCATGTTACCTCTCTGCTCAGAATTTCCAAGTGGGCTCCAGCTTTCCAGTTCTACAGATTTACACAGCCTGAGGACTTATTTTAGGTTTGCACTGCCTAGTACCAGTTTGCATTCCTCTGTGTAACAGGTTACACAGATACCTCAGACCTGCCAGTCATGCTGGTGTGACCATAGTTACAGGTATCCTATCCCAACTAATTGACAGAATGTCATCGCCATAATACTGTCTATATATTACATAGATGATTATCCAAATTTCGCTATTGGTGAGTTTTGAACTCACAACTTATCACTTGGGGATATGACAACTTATCCACTTCACTAAGTCACCACACTCTTAAAAATTCTTCTATTTTAGAAATAGATTTAAGTACTGCACATAGTCAAAGAAAAACTATTAGCAAAAAATTGTAGAAGAATCAACAGAATGTAGATAAATACTTACTAATAAGTTATTTAACAAGTTATTCAATGTAAAAACAAAAAAAATTAATTAATAATACTGTAATAATATGATATAATCAGAAATTTAATTTATTTTTTTTGGTATTAAGGTAACTTCTTTGGTCTTTTGACTTTTATTAATTACTTATCAGTATTGTGTCTTAATGAACTACTACAGGAGAGAGTACAATTGGCTACATATGTAACTTTTCTATATTACTTATTTAAGGTGTCTGCTTGAAGGTTCTCTACCAATTAACATACCTAACATTTCTGCTTGGATATTCTACTTTAAACCCTCTGAATCTGTAACCTGTGTTAACTTATTGGATCATACCCAGATGCTCAGATCATTATTTCAACTTTAGGACTAATTTATCCTCAAGGTAAACTCTCCAGAGCCTTCTGTATCTATTTTTATAGCTGACCTAGGTATTACTATAGCAGAATCAATACTTGTGGTTAGGGCTAACCATTAAACTGCTATGCCTTTGTAGAATTCACTTAGACCCTAGCATCTATTTCATAGTATAACCCAGTACTTTAGTATACCTCTGTCTTTTTCTCTGTCTTTTTACCAAATTCCTAATCCAGATAGCCTGTATAGGATTATGACCAGTTCATTGATATATTAGATTGGTCTGATATCCTTTTC